AGACTGGTCTCTGAGCCACTGGTCTTTGGCAACCAAGTCAAAAAGCCAGACCAGCATACCTCAAAAAGACTGTAGCAACTAGAATTAAGGGCTATGTTTACTTTGGTATGAAAAACATTTCTAAATCAAAGGATGGCACCATGGAGTAGCAAGTTAAGCTTCCACCTGCAGCATCAGCATCTGATATGGGCACCAGTTTGAGTCCCAGGTGCTTCACTTCTGGTCCAGCTCTCTACAAATGTGCCAGGGAAAGCACTGGAGGATGACCCAAGTGCTTGGATCCCTGTACCCATTTGCCAGACCCAGAAGCTCCTGGATCCCGGCTTTGGACCAGCCAAGCTCTATGCATTACAACTGTATCTTCCAAGGAAGAAAGATCTCTCTCTCTCTCTCTCTCTCTCTCTCTCTTTCTCCATATATAACTTTGCCTTTCAAATAAATAAAGAAATCAAAAGCTATGAGGTAAGGGTATCTCTGACACATTAGAGGACCAGCATTGACCCCAATGTAGCTGAAGCAGAATAAACCAACATGCCTGAAAAAAGTAGATAATGTTGATGAGACAATGAGGACTAGATGGGAGAGCATTTTTCTGTGAGTGACAGGGAAGATTCCAGAAGCTTTCAGCAGAGAAGCATGTTAACAGGTTCTTTCTGGCTGCATGGGAGGAATGAGAAGCAGGAGGAGCAGTCAGCAAGCCACTGCCTTCTCCATTTCTTCCCATTGTGCTCCTTGTCCTCTCACATCCTGCTTTTGGAGTGCTGCAAAATGTATCTTCAAACTAAATTCAGCAACAGCACACTCTCCAGGATGGCCCTCCTCACCTTTTTAACCAGATCTCTGCCACATGTCCCCAACACACCAACCACCATTAACTCGTGTTTTCAAATATACCTGTACAATCCCACTGTCACTCCTGCCACCCCAGCTTCACCTGCTGAGGTGCTACCAATCTTGGGAGATTTGTCCTAACACCCACTTCCTCCACTTTTCCAGATTGGGCAGCTAGCAGAACCCTTAACAGCCTTCAGTTCTGCAGACTATTGTGTCTGCCCTCTCTGTATGGTGTTACTATGTTTCAGTGGACCAGAAGCTCTCTGGCTCATTCACCTTCATGATAGCAATATACCTTCTGTAAGAGGGACTCCTCAATGAATTGAATCATACCAGTGTTATCCTTTACGAGACACAATTCTGTAACCCCCAATGGCCTCTTTCAATCTTTCCATAACCTTATAGCAACTGTCTTATCCAGTTAGGATTATAAATATATAAGTATACTTCAAAAAGTTTATGAGAAATGGAATGGAAAGAATGTATTTCAGTGCAAAAGCAATTTTAAACTTCATGCATAGTTTTTTCATCCTATGCATCTCGTTAGAAAAATGTTTTTCATAACATGAGGAAATGCTTATTATAAAAATATTATGCACAGATTTAAAAATTTATTTGCATCAAAATAAACCCATACTTGCAATTCCATTTTTCTGTACTTTTAAAACTACTCTTGTACAAACTGCAGTTAGATACACAAATTCTAACCCAGAAAAATCTGTTAGACTTCATGCTAAATTAGTAATGCTAAGCAATTAAGCCTGAAAAACTAAAAGTGGACACAAAAACACAACTTTCCTCATAGTTAATTGTCACCTAAAATTTTCTGCATTGGAAGATGCCCTGTTAAATCTGGAAGCTTTTAAATGCTGGACCTCAAGCCACAGGAAAATTGATCTACTTAAATATTTTAAGCATTTATTTTTATTGGTAAGACTTTAATGGAATCAATGCTAACCTCTTTATTGGGGGGTAATGCAGACACACTGAGAACTTAACTTTCCCTTTTACGGTGTTTTTAAAACAGCCTTCTTCTTGCATTATTTATAGTAAAGATCTGAAAACACTGACTCAGGTTTTCCCAATGACTGTCATCCAAATGTGGAGGTGCAGAGCTAAAAGTACAGTAAATTTCCTTCCAGCCATCTATGCAAGAGAATTTGCCAGAAGGGCACCCTAGGGATGGTCTAAATTCTTTCTTTTTAAGAAAATTTTAGTTGCTAACCTGGCTGTCTCTCCACCTCCTTGCTGAAGTAGTTCATACTGGTGTCTAAATGCAAAAAACAACAAACAAACAAAAACAACAACAACAACAACAAAACGGCCCTCAGGAGCAGAGACAAAAGCATCAGAAATCAAACTCAGAATCAACTCAATATGAAATCTTCGAACCATTCTTTAATACGAGGCCTTAAAGTGACTCTCAGCTTTGTAACACCAACTACATATGAATAGCAGAATAATCCTCGGGGACTTAATTGTCTTTTGAGAATCAGAGATATTAAACTGTCACTTCCTTTAAGTGACTTGTGTTAGACAAGCTAGAGGATATCAATGTGTGCAAGATAAATGTGAATGAGTTCAAATGTTTTAGCAACATTATTTCAAGATCTTCAATATTCTTTGAATAATTTTTGGTAAAATATTTTCAGTATAACCCAATTGAAACAATGTTTCTTTCAAATAAGACAATGTGTCTCCTGTAGTTCTAGTCTCCATAGAGTTAGAAAATCTCAGACTGAATAGAACTAGTAAAATGAACTTGTTTTCTGTGTCCCGGTCAGGAGGCTTAGCTGCAGAAGCGGGGTCAGTCATCATAATCAAACCATGGCTTGAAAATGGAAAATGTGTCAGAAATACTAACAAGAAAATCAGAACAGAAACAGATCTTATAAACCAACTGTCTGTCAGAGTTCAATAGCTCTTCCTATTATTTCTTTAAAAAAAAAAAAAGACATGTTAAGCCACCAAACTGAACACTGAAAAGGCAGAAAAGCAATTCTAGCAATACAGAAAGAGCCAATAAAACATTTCTATTTCAAAGAGTTCTATTTCAAAAAGTCATTTTAATGTTCCGTAATGGTTTTGATCACTTTGAAACTGCTGGTCTAGGTGTGTATCCTCCCTCAAACAGACCCCCTGAGACAAAGAATTCAAGTCCAATGTATGTGTAAAATGTATGTGTAAAGTTCTGGAAACACTGGCCAGGAAGGGAAATCGTCATGCATAGGAAAGGGGGGAGCCGAATTTTAGGTCAGCCGTTTGCTTCAGACTTTTCTGTGAAATGGGAAAACAGGAGTTTTCATCCTTCCATACTGCCAGCTTCTTTCAGGCAGTTGCCACATTGTTTTCCAGATCTACAAAGCAAACCTTCTGGCAGATGATGAAGGCTCTGGCGGCGTGTGCACCTCAGCCATCAAAATGATGAGCTCCAAGAATGTGGGAGGAGCATCGGAAGCACCGCCCACAACAGCATAATCCATGCGTAGTAACAGGTTATGTGCATTCCTGTTTTCTATCAACGTTCTCCCTCTTTCTTCTACTGACACTTAGACCGCATAGTTCACAGTCAAGTCATCGGCCCTAAGCTATAAAACAATTTTTTCTTATCTGTACCTTTACTTCTCCCCCTGAAGTCTCCTTTGTATTCTCCTAAATTAAGACACTAATTCTATTTGTATGTCTTATATTCTTTTACATTAACCTTGCTCTCAATTGAATTTAAAAAATCTCTCCAATGATAGCAGTCATATGGGTTCATAATAATAACTACAAAAATAAGGATTTGGTCCACACAGGGAAGAGTTCAGGTCATTCTGTCACCCAAAGAACCCTTTGTGATCAGAGTGTAAGGAGTCATGGTGGCAGCTGCAGAAGCATACACAGTCACAAATTAATAAAGAGGAGGTAGGCACATTTCACCCTTAACTAAGGGAACGCATTTTCAGTTAACTGTTGCTGTCCTTACTTTCACACATACAATCTTTAAAAATAGTCCAATCTGAATATGCTTATTCTTAGGCTGTAGAGAAATTCCTAGAATCTCTTGGTAACTTTATTCAAAGCCTGAAAGTTTCATCTTGGCTCTTGCTGCGTGCATAGTCAAAATGAGATGATAATGTACCAAGACAAACTAAACTTAAAACAACCTTGACTAAAGTGAGCCTGTGGCAAATATTAACTTGCATAATTTACACCAAAAGATCAGTTGAAAGAACTCAGGAAAAAAAGCTGAAACTACCAGGACTACAGTATTATGAGTTTCTTAAAAGAACGTATTTGTATGCAACAGGAACAAGGATACTTCAAAAAGTTCATGGAAATGCAATTGAAAGATAAGCTTGTTTCAAAGCCGATCCTTTGAAACCTATGGGAAGTTTTTTTTTTCATAATTTGCATTTTGAATTAACTTTCTGAAGACCCCTAAATACTAAAAAGATAACACTGTTAAAATCCACTCAAATTGTCTAGTTTTTACAGTGCTCAATAGAGTTTTCATAAAATAATTTTAAGAAAAATATAAAAAAGAAAAAAATAGACCAGAACATCACTGAATACTTCTGGATGCTTCTATCCTGGATTTGGAGGTTCACCTTTTTCTCCATGGCCATAAACAAACATTTGATTGAATCATAGTAAAATGGTATGCCTTTTTAGTAGCAGGTTTTATGCTTATGTAAGGATCAGACCCACTACCAAAGCCCCCCCAGTCTCCTAAAATAAACTACCCATTATACAAAACGATCAGTATTTTTAAAATCAAACATCCTAATTATAGTAAATGATGCTCTGAAACATCGATTTTTTTTCATCAACATCAGCTTCTAAATCTACCTCTGTGGGAAGACCTTTTTTTTAATTATATCCAATCTGTCATCTATGTATACAATTGCAAAATACATTAATGATAAATTACTAGGGAAATTAGTGTTTTTAAAAGTAAACAAAGTACAAACCCAACTGTTTTTTATTATTATTATTACACTGATATAAAATTACTCGACCCAATTTCTAAAACAGTTTTGCAACCCTTACTCTTCATGTTAGTATTGCTCTGGCCATTGATGCATTACAGACAGCTATGGGCAGCCCTGGCCTGTAAGTGCATTTTGGAGAACACCAACTTGAAGGGCCATACATGCATCTATTTAAGAGCTACACCTTACCTCGGACATTCTTCCCAAATCCCATAGATGACACTTTCTTGTCCACTTGTTCACTGGTACTTGACTTCTCTTTGATAACATCATCATCGCCAACAACATCAGCAGAAAATTTTTTTCTTTTCTTTTTCTTGTGTCGAGGTGGAAGCTTTTTTGGAAAAGTAAACATTGGGAATATCACAAGAAACATTGCAATGGCACAAAGGAGGAATCCACTCCACCTAAAAAATTGGGAGATGGGAATAGTATTTTTGGGTCTTGTTCTATGAAAACAAATCAGCAAAGTAGAAGACTACAGTGACCAAAAAAAAAAAAAGTCTCCAGAGAAAACATTTAAGCTTCAACAATTGTAGAGTAGGAGGAAGTTGAGCAAATTAAGAAGACAGAAGGATTCTCTCCATTTGTAGTATAAATTTAAAAATCTATCCAATTATGCTTGAATTATAATGAATACTAAAATTAGCAATCTGATTTGAATTCAAGTCAAGTATTTTTGAGCACTTATATGTAGTTCTAATATCATTAGCCCTTCTACCATGGGCTTTTTATAATCACTAAATTATAAATTTGATAGCAAAATAATATAGACTGTATATATGGCATGTTTTGTGGGCCAATATAGATACTTTCTCAGAAAAAGGTAGCATTTCATATCAAATTGTTGATGGTGTTCACACATTTTTCTGTAAGTACATAAGAATCTACTGGCCTCCGTTTAGCTGATCTTCCGAAATCAATATGTGAGCCTAGTTATTCAACCTTCACACCTTCAAGAGTTTATAAACTACTGGCAAGCAATCAAAAGTATAAGACACAATCTCCAAGATATGCAAGAAGGTATACAGTTAAGTGTTAGATTACATTATATAGATTTCAAATGTTATGAAATTTCAGAAGGGAAACTGATGTGTGTCAGAAAGCTTCCCAGAGAATTGGTACTTCCGATTCTGACTTAGTTCATCTGAGACAGTACTGCAGACAGCCAGTGGCACATACCAGCAGCAGAACTCACATTCCAAACGAGTATTAGAGACAGTCATGTGTGAAGGCTCTGTGCTTCCTGCCTGCATAACTCCCTAGGAGAAATTCCTCCGTTCCCTTCAACCTTTCTCTAGCAAGCATGGGTCCCCTTTCCTACCTAATCAGGTCAATACTTTTTTTCTTTTTAGAAAGTAAATGCTACTGTTTTTATTTAAAATCGTTACATAAATAATTAGGTAATTTTTCAGTGACAATAATGGGCCCTGAGAAAAATACTAAGAATTTTTCTTCCATTTTTCTATGTGCTCAAATATTTATCATTTATTTATGATGCAGCATTCAAAACTCTTTCTTCCAGCTCTTTTTTTTTTTTTTACACAAAATATATACTACATTGTCATCATCTGTAGGTTCCTACTGGGCCATAGAACAGAAGAACTTTCTATTCTCCTCTACCTACAACACAATACCATTCATCAGGGGCCACCATTGTGGTATAGTGGATAAGGCTGCTGCTTAAAATGCTAGCATCTCATATGGGCACAAGTTCAAGTTCCATCTGAGGTCACCACATCTAACAAAGACACATCAACTCCAAATTCTGCCTACAAAGCTTCCAGGTTCATAAATGCTCAGACTTCATCCTCTACAGCAACAAGTTCCCACTCATTTTAACCAGAAAGTAAGTAGCAGCCCAGACCTCGGTGGCGAATCCAGAAAGACTGGACATCACTGTAGAGTGAAAATTCGTCTTTATCCAAGTGATGTTCAAATCTGCTCAAGTTCACTGGTTAGTTGAGAAAACCACTCATCAGTAATATGTGCTATTTTCAAAGGTACTGTTAAATCAAAGAATGCTTTCAAGATCATTAGAAAAAGCTCTATTTTGAGAAGACTGCTTACAGGATAGCTGTGGCCATCTCAATTATTCAGAATGTAATCACCAGCTTAGTGCTTGACCCAAATTATATACAACAGAAATTTGTTGAATAAGTAAATTGAAAGAGGTCTTTAAAAAAAAAAGTGGCATTTCTGTGCAAAGTGCATAGCTATGGTATTGTCCAGCCTCTTTAGTACTTGGTGGCCATGAGGCCCTCATTAGTTAGGCCCTGCCTCTCATCTATCTCTCCCTGCACCACCTCTACACACAGGTCCTCTGAACCCTTCATCCCTACACCTTCAGTTCTCCTTAACTCCAGAAGGGGGCAGGCATACGCGGCCAGTGGAATGCAGTGGAAAGTGGAGGGGAGGGCTCACAAACTGTGGTTTCTGACAGAGCCGGGTTCATACCCATTTTAACCACTTACCAATTATGGGATCCCAGATAAATTATTTTGCCTTTCCATTCAGCTTTCTCATCTGAATGAAGTGCCATGGGAAGAGTTTATTGATGTCAACAAAATTCACTAAGAGTATATTTATGACAGATCTAAATACAAAATGTCTGTCCTCAAATCAACAATCAATTCACATTAGCTAATTTGGCTTACTTCATTTCGATGCCATGTAAATCTACGTAACTTCCCCATCAGTCCATCTCCAACTATTGATGTGAAATGATAAATAAACATGAAAGATGTATTCAAAATAGAGTGTCTAACAGAAGAAGGGAATTACAATCAACAGAGACAGCACAGAAGTGCGAGTCATTTCAAAGAGCAGTCATGCCTCCAAGCCCATGTGCTTCAACAGTCTTCCAGAAGCATCCTTACAACTCATGATACAATGATGGCACTGAAAAGGATTCTGGGAAAAGCTGAGTAAGGCACCCAAATGTTGAATACTGAGCAAAGCTCCATCAATAATAGCTAAAACAGAAAAATCATGATGTGTAAGCTCCTCTCACAGACCACCACTCAAACACCATTCACCAATGGAGGCTAGTTAAATCTATTGACCAATAGCATCTCTCTGGGTTATCCCTGACTGAGATTTGAGCAAATTGTGCCACTCGCTGAGCTTCAATTTTCTCATCTCAAAAATGAGCATAATACTGCAGACATAGACGGTGGCTTGTCATAAGCAGTCAGTAAATATTAATATTATCCATTCCTTCTTTCCTCACTTTTATTTGCTGAAAAAGCATTGCTGCCAGACATCATACCAAGTAACTATGCCTTTGTTCAAGATAAAAGTCTGTTACAGTCAATAAAACTCAAATTTATTTTTAGAGGGATTCTTACGTATTTCTAATATTGATATCTCTATCATTTACAGAACAGTGAGCCACTGAAATGGATCAAATTGAACATTTTTCACATTTAAAGAACTAAATAGCTAACACTATTTAGTTATTTCCGGGGGGAGGGGGGCAGGGCAGGAACTGTTGAAATCTCCACATATGAAAATTCACTCACTCATTATTCCCAGCCACTCTGAAAATTAGGTGCCATGACTACTTTCTTTTTATGAATTTGGCTTTTTAAAGAATTTCTTTTAATATGACACAAAGAAATAAATTATCCAAAGTCACATGGCTTTTGGATACTGAGGACTTAAACCTAGGGAAACAAGGCTTGGGGTGGCTGCTGCTGACATCTTTCCACTCAGCTAGCTGTTGGACTCCTGTCTGCCAGGACACTTTGAAAAGTCAGCATAAAGCAACTGTATAAATGAAATATATGAAATTAGTTTATCTTATATAATGAAAACAATTTAAATTTTAAAATATTTCATTTTAAAAAAAGCACAAAGCATCTATGGAACCAACACTCCTGCCTGCCTTCCCTCTCTCTGCCTCCCCATCCTTCTTCCCTCCTCCAGATATGCCCTGATTACCATGCCCTTTCTCAGGACATCTAAACATAACACAGAAAGCTCTGGATATTTAGAACTGTATTTTAATCCTCCAGTTTTCAGACAAAGAAAAAAATTCCTTCACTGATTGATTTCACAATTGCAAAGAAAGTAGCTGAGACTAAGTTTTGCCATGAGCCAAGACCCTAAAACTCCTATGTTATTCCCCTAACACTGATAGAGGAACTCTTCTTTGTGAGATTTTGAAAATTCTATGAAACTAAGTTCCTTATATCTTAACACTGCCAGCTCCAGTGGATATTAATTAGGAAGATGTCGATAATGTCAACTTCTTTTAAAATAGGTCATTCTCACTCGTCTCATAATTAACCTATAAGGAAATGGGCTGTTATCCTATAATGAAACACAGAGAATTTGAGAAATATTTTAGGAAGTAAATTAAATGACACATACCATTTCTATCATGGAAGTATTCTCCTTGTTAAAACAAAAACTTACTAGCAATGGCAACTTATTCTAATCCATACAAAATTAATTCTGTCAGTGCTTGCATTCATAAAGAAATAAATTATTGTGTTCAAGTTGAAGTTTGTGAAAAACTTAAGAACAATTCTGCTCTTTAGGGAAATAATATAACATCCACAGCTCAATTGCTTATTCTGAGCCCTAATAATATTACAAATTTTGTAGAACAATTAGGATCTAACAAGTGAGAATACACTCCCAGAATACATAGAGCAAGAAAATCTCATCAAGAGAACATTCCCTGAGAGGGTATCCATGGGAGAGTTGGGCCAGAGTTCTAGGTGGCAGGGAATCCTGGAAATCAGAAACCCAAACTCCAGTTTCCTGCTATTGCACACCCTAGGAGGCAACAGCCAATAGCTCCAGTACAGTCCCGTGGCCACAACAGGGGAGGTCTGGATTGATCTCCTTGCTCCAGCTTTTGTGTTCACTAAGGGAATAAACCAGAAAAATGAGAGCTCTCTCCATACACATCTATCTGGTTTACATATAATCTAATATTTAATTAAGTAAGTAAAGTGAACTGGCAGGGCTACATTCCTCCTGGTGGCTCTGGAGAAGGTGATTTCTGCTGTTTAGCTTCTAGAATCCACCTGCAATCTTGAGATGAGAGCACCAAGGTCATTCAGGATCATCTCCCCATGTCAGAGATGCTTCACTGAAGCACATCTACAAAATCTCTTTCATGAGTAAGGTCCTGTTCCCCAGGTTCTGGAAATGAGGACATGGCTATCATTAGGGGATGAGGGGAGTCGGAGGCAGATGGCAGCAGGGGTGGGAAGCCGGGATCATTCTCCCTACTGTCACTTTTCAGGTTGCTTTTACTAGTGCACTGCTTACTACTATACTACTTTTATACTGCTGTAACGCTAACATTTTAAAAGGGAGTGAGATGGAAAACTTAGAATTCTTACCAGTTTCCGATGAAACGAGGATCACTCTGGTCGAGGTGAACAGGGTTTCTGGGATCAACGTAAAAACCAATAAGAAGTCCACCTAGCAGATATCCCACCGCAGGGCCAAGTGCTCCCATGACATACATGATGGCTGAGAAGACAGAAGGGAAAAGGGGCATCAGCAGCAGCACTGGCACCAGGACATCTTCGTTCTCTAATCCCACCATCGCACAGTAAAATGGCCCTGGTGAAATCCAGCGACAGCTTCCAGCAACTGGGGAAACTTCAGGAATGTGTGTCTCTCTTGACATCTCAGTTCCAAACCCTGCCCTGTCACCTGCTGTCCTCTTAGAGAATCCAAATCCTCTGGCGAGCTTTCTGATTGTTTATATTTTATGTTTTAATACAAACATTCAAGTCCCACCACAGAAATACTAAATTCCAATTTGTGACAAACTCAGACTAGATCATGAGACAGTCATTGAGAGACCAAAAGAAACTACAACAAAACAAAAATCTTAAAATAAAAAAAAGAAGAAGAAATAATAATGAAGGAAAAATAAGACAGAGGAAAACATAGGTGTCATTTATCCCAGCTGGAAGGTACTAACAGGAAGAAAGGAACTCCAGGTCGGAGTTGCCCCCGACAGGTTGGATTCAGCTGGATTGGCCAAGCTGCCCATATGCCCTCAAATGTCGAGTATTTTTCTTTTCAAAGCATCATACAGAATAGGATACTATCTTTCAGGGCATTTGGCTTATTACTAATTAACACATATTACATAAAGATAACTGAATCTCCTAGAATGGCATAGGTCAGCAGATCCAAACGCAGAGCAACCACAGCTGGTAAGAACATACATTCTGAAAGTACACGTCCACTTCTGCTGATAGTAGTCTCACTGTCGGTGGATCAGAAAGACAGCTACCGCATCCAAAGCTCTGTGTCGTCAAAGTGGGCTTACACCAAACAACCAAGCCATTCCTCAGATGACCTGTTCCACTATTTTTCTATCTTCACTTCCATCATTTAAAGTTCTAACATAAACAACATATGGCCAGTTTAAACATTTGAAGATCAGTTAAAAATTTCTTGAGCCTCACTGAGGGAGATTTCACCACACTCCAAATCCATCTATGTTTCATATTCAAGCTCAACTGTTTGGAGACAAATTCATAAGCTATTTGGAGGCATAAGGTTTTGCAAAGTTTGACAACAAATGTAGGTGTTAAGCTTCTTAATTCTACTGCTATCATGCATTTTTTCAACCAGCAAATACATCAGGATCTATTGCCATGACCTTTCAATAGCACTCTATTTACAAGAAAACAAATCAGAATGACATCTCCTTACTTTATCATCCAAATCTAAATAAACATTGAATAAATACTTATGCCTCCTATTACTTGTTAACTACAGACAGCAAGACAGTAATTTAACACCTGCTCTCACTTTTCATGCTGTTTCAAAACAGGAAGTACAGTGTTTATTTTACAGAGCTTCCTTGTTGCAACCAAAAGATGGTTCTCCCATTTCTCCATCTGTGTCCGTAAATGGAAAATGGAGGCATAGTTGCAAGTGATTGGTACTCTTTTGGAAGCATGCTGTTCATAAATAAAGTTAATATATTGATAAATGTCTTATTAGTCTGCTGACAGCCTAAACAGTAGCTCAGGAATAGAATGTCCATTTTCAGTCTCAGGTATTTCTATATGCATATGAAGATAAAACTTCTGTTTACATCTCCAGCAAGCCAGCACCACTGACAACCCCAAACTGTAATGAGGCCAAAATGTGACTTGAATCATCTTCCCAAAATAGTTCCGGCACAAAAGAAGCTGCCTCCCAAACACAGACAGGGAAAAGGGCACTGCCACCATCCTGTTGGTGCCTGGGGCAGTTGAATGCATCATCTTAGAGCATCAAGCAGGGCTGAGCAGGATGTGTGCAAGACTCCGCAGCTGAATGGCAATGGTAGAGTGATGACTCAATGGCATTCACCAGAAAATCTGAACTACTTGATAAACATAGACAAGGCTTTTAGAAAGTCAGCAATATAACCGCAGTTATTTTTATTATGTAACAAACACTTGAAGTCTAAAGGCATCAAACACACACACACACACACACACACACACACACACACACACACACCCCTCTTAGCTCTCATTTAATAAATAAATATATCATTCTCCAGGAACAAAAAATATTTCAGGGCACTGAGTTAAGATTTAGCAATTTATTCAACAAAAACATTCATTCAAAGCTTGTTAGAGCAGAAAGTTGTTGAAACTAACTCATACTATTCAGCTGCCCAGTCAAAACTCCCAATCACTCTCAACTGACTAAAGGAAAAGATCTAAAAGGTTGGACCTGGAGGTCAAGGGTGGGATAAACTGTCCTACAGTGACCATCCCAGTCTTCAAACCAGGTCTTCTACAAGGAAGGTAAGAACCCAACTAACTGAGCCATCACCTGCTGCCTCATTAGGTTTCACATTAGCAGGAAGCTGAAATTATGAGCAGAGCCAGGACACTCACCTTTACACTCCTATTTTGAATGACAGTGTCCCAAAGGATGTTTTACCTGCTGAGCCAAACACATTACCCTTCATAGGGCGTATTTTAAATTAAGTGGAATCCTAGCTTCCTCTCACACATTGTCTGCTAATGAGGAAACTCAAATTGTAAATCCAAAGTCTCTGTGGCATTTAGACCCTGACACAAGCCATGCCCACAGAGGAAAGCAAGTTCAAGGGCTCTTCATTCTACTCTCTCATGGTTGTGGGGAGGATCGCATGGTTTGGCCTTCCCTCACTGTGCATGCCTCCTACACATTGCCTCCGGCTCAGGATCACCCGCCTAGCCTCCCTGACATGGCCGTGAATGCTCCTGAAGACTGATGCTGCCTATGGTTGAGATTATGAGGATAATTTGAGCCTAGGTTCAGGGGCTAGGGGGGCGCGGCACCCAGGAAGCTGTCACTGGAAAACACTTGCACCCATGGCTCAAGTCTTCAAATGACTACTAAGCCTGGTCTAAGACAGTGATAGACTCAAATACATTTGGCAACACAGCTGCTGCAGATAAGAGGATATGCAGAGCTGTCCACAGGTCACTGGGACATCACAGCGGTGATGACTGAATAATTCCCTGAAAAATAGCCCAGGGAGTTCACAGTACCTGAGCAGCATAGTCAGAGAAAATATGCTCTCTCACCGCTTCTACTCACAAGCATGAGTAGATAAGAAGCCTTTGAGCCTGGTTATTTTAAGCAGTGATTTATTTAAAATAAAATTATTTCAACTGATTCAGTTATTTTGACATAGGCCTGACAGCAAAAGAACAGCTGCCATGGCAGTCAGAGGATCATCAATCACATTCCTAACACACACAGAGAGCATCTCAAGTCACCCAGAGTAGGTGTGTTTTTCAAACACAGTAGTTAACCCTGCTGACAAAATGTCTGAAAAAGAAGTTTACTTTGCTCATGTTTACAACAGGAATCTACCCTTTGACATGCTAAGAAATGTATGCCCAAGTCACAAAACAAGCAGGTGACAGACTCAAATTCAAATGTGTCTGATGACAGTGCAAGTACTCACAGCACACAACATGACCTCCCATGTAGCTTAAATAAAGCCACAAATGAAACACCACAGATATCAAAACCAAATCACTAGAAAAGTCAAATCAGTGTCCCCCTCACAAAACGTACAGCTGCCAAATAACGCACAGGAAGTCTCAACACACCAAACCCTAATCTTTTAAAAAATAAAATGCTAATTATCATAGGAGTTGTTATCATTTCTAGAGCAAAGTTATCCCAGAGATATTTCCATTAATTTGCTATATTTATTTTTTTCAAATTAACTCACACATTTCATAGTTTTTAAGGACATCCCCACACTAATCCTATCACTTGCAGGGCACTGATTCTGACACTGGACCAGGAATAATATAGCTATTCTATAATATTTAACAGCTCAAAATGGGAAGTTAATATACTTCTAAAAATACCAAAGAAACTAGTATATGAAAATGTCAATTGTGATCATCCAAAATTGCTTTTAGTTGCATCTAATTATACCACTCTTTTTAAGAGTTCTATATTTCACCTCAAGAATGGCCTGAAAAAATTACATCATTTGATATGTGATAACTCTATTTTAGCCCATTCTCAAAAAACTACTCCAAAGCCCAATGAATCCCTCAATTTTCAACAACTTTCAGGTAGTATTACCAATAGGCAAACACAACAACGGTGGGGGTTGGGGGAATAGGAGGCAGGTATTTACTAAATGTATTTTAAAAATTAATTCTAAGAATGCTTAGCAGGCAATACTCCATTAACACTATGCACCCAGATTTCCTAAGTGTCTTGCATCCTTACAGCTCAGTGAATGGAGTTCTGGTGATACTATTCTTTGGGAAAGAATCTTAGAAATAATCAATTATTGACCCATGCAGGAAAGTTACCTTTTCTTGATCTAGTAAATGTGTATACAGGCATACACACACACACACACTCCATCACAACCACTACAAACAACATCAGCAAAAAGATGAAAACCCAGGGTACATATCTGAATCCCTTCTGCTCACCTCCCCCCAAAATAAATATTTTCTGTAACTATATAGTTGGTGAAAGACTATATTTATATAAACTGCAAGGAAAAGGGTTTGATGCAGTGAGTGCTTTGATTACTTGGAGAGCACAAAAGCAACTGTGAACAAGTCCTGACAACATCAAGATTGATTGATTGATTGATTGACAGATTGATTGATTTACATGTGTATTTAGGTATTTCAAAACGTTCATGGAAAAAATGGAATTGAAAAATAAATGTATGGGGCAGGCAGGCATTTGGCACAGTAATTACCCCATCACTGGGGTCACCCAAACCTGTATCATGCTGCCTGGGTTTGAGTTCTGGGCTCTACTCTTGGATTCAGCTTCCTGTTAATACACATTTGTAAAGATACCATGTGAGGCTTCAATGAATTAAGTCCTCAACAGTCATGTGGGAGGCCTAAATTGATCTCTAGCTCCTGACTTTGTCTCTGACCTAGCCCTAGCTTCAAGAGACATATAGGCAGTGAACCAGCAGATGGGAGATCTCTGTTTCTCTCCCACTGTTGAATAAATTA